CGGGCAGGACGCATAGTGCCGAGGACTCCCTGTCCTCTCTCCACCTGGCTGAACGCAGTGACTCAAGGGACAGGAGCGATGGTGGCTGGTCCCTGCCTGGCGCAGCAGGCCATCTCCTCTGTGACTACCCAGGTGCCCTTGCGTAGTAGATGTGAGGCTCTGCAAGTGGAACCGAACAATGACGAGGACGATGGTTCATCTTGCTTGGAGGTGTCGCCAAGGTTGTCTGTTTACGCCTGGCATCAAAACTGCTTCCATAAAGAAAAAAAGGCGGGTCATTGTCATAGGAGACTCTCTCCTGAGGGGAACAGAAGGCCCAATATGCAGACTGGACCCACTTTTTCAGGAAGTCTGCTGCCTCCCTGGGGCCCAGGTTTTAACCCGTGAAGAGAAAGCTTCCTACCCTGGTACAGCCCTCAGATTACTGTCCATTATTGATTTTTCAGGTAGGCAGCGATGAACTTGCAATGAGAAGTCCGAGGGCAAGCAAGAGAGACTTCAGAGCCTCGGGACGACAGGTTAGGGGATCAGGAGCACAAGTAGTGTTCTCCTCTATCTTTCCAGTTGCAGGGAATGATGAGGGAAGAAACAGGAAGAGCCAGCAGATCAATACCTGGTTCGGAGCCTGGTGTCACCGGCAGAATTTTGGTTTTTTTGATCATGGATCAGTCTACACACCACCAGGCCTGCTGGCAACAGATGCGGCAGAATTTTGGTTTTTTTGATCATGGATCATTTTACACACCACCAGGCCTGCTGGCAACAGATGGGGTAGACCTGTCTTCAATGGTGAAAAGGATCTTTGCACAGGAGTTAGCAGGGCTCATTGAAAGAGCTTTAAACTAGATTTGAAGGGGAAACCAAGCTCAGTAGAGATAAGCCTGGGGGCAGCACACTGATATTTGAGAGGCAGTGTGCTAGCGAGGTCCTTTGGTCTGCAATCTTAGTGGAGGTAGGTGATGGAAAGCCACGCGACAGCAAAGACACAAGCGTTATTGGTGTGTTTGTTAGAAACCATGGAAGCACCTGAGAATGGTCATGTAGGAATTAGGGCTTCTCACCCCCAAAAGGTGGCAGGATCAATAGCCCAAATGAAGTACACCAATGCACTCAGCACGGGCAACAAACAGGAGGAGCTGGAAGCCACTGTGCAGCAGGAAAACAATGATATAGTTGCCATCACAGCAACATGGTGAGATGACTTGTACAACTGGAATGTTGCAATGGAGGGTTATAAAGTCTTTAGAAGGGATAGGCGAGGAAGGAGAGGCAGTGGGGTATCCCTGTGTGTTAGGGAGTGTTTTGACTGTCTAGATCTTGACAATGGTGACAACAGGGTTGAGTGTTTATGGGTAGATATTATAGTCATGGATATTTATTATACACAGAAATCATGTAGCCAGCAGGAGTAGGGAAGTGATCGTGCCCCTGTGCTTGGCACTGGTGAGGCTGCACCTCGAATACTGTGTTCAATTTTGGGCCCCTCACTATAAGAAAGACATTGAGTTGCTGGAGTGTGTACAGAGAAGGCAATGAAGCTGCTGAGGCGTCTAGAGCACAAGTCTTCTGAGGAGCAGCTGAGGGAACTGGGGTTGTTTAGCCTGGAGAAAAGAAGGCTGAGGGGAGACCTGGTTGGTGGATGTTGGTCTCTTCTCCCAGGTAACAAGCAATAGGACAAGAGGAAATGGCCTCAAGTTGTGCTAGGGGAGGTTTAGATTGGATGTTAGGGAAAAATTCTTCACTGAAAGGATTGTCAAGCATTGGCACAGGCTGCCCAGGGAGGTGGTGGAGTCACCGTCACTGGAAGTGTTCAAAAAACATGTAGACATGACACTTCATGATATGGTTTAGTGGGCTTGGTGGTGTTGGGTTGATGGTTGGGCTTGATGATCTTGAAGGTCTTTTCCAACCTAAATGATTCTATGACTAGGAAAGGGCAAACGTCACACCAGTCTTTAAAAAGAGCAAAAAGGAGGATCTGGGAAATTTTGGGTGGTCAACCTAACCTCATTCCCTGGGAAGATTATGGAGCAAATACTCCAAAAATTTGTTCCTGTGTGCATGAAAAAGAAGAAAATGGGAACAGCCAGCATTAATCCCTGGACATTTTCTGATCATGACTGGAAATGGCCCTGAGCAACCTGGTCCAATTTGACCTGCTTTGAGCAAGGGGTTGGGCTAGAGGTCTCCCAAGGTCCTTTCTGACCTACATGATTCTGTCACTCTAAACAGTGTTTTATACTGCCAGCTGCATAGTGGGAAATTTGTATGATATGTAAAATAACCTTGCTTTTAGCAAAAAACTGAAAGGTGCCAAGTCTGCAAATGCATGTTTAGCTTTGTGTGCAGCTGTCTTAAGTTCAGCGGGGCTTTTGCATTAAGAGGCATGTGAATTGATGATTGCTGGAACTCCAGTGTGGTGCTGAAATGTTAACAGACAACGGCTCCTACTGTACTTAGCTGCATATGCTAACCTCCTTTTTAGGGTTTTTGTCAAAGGCTCTCTCTATACTCCTGTGTCCTGAAGGAACTGCTTAATATTGTGTGTGGCATCCATCTCATAATGTAGCATCCACGTATCTGAATGATGGAAGTGTTGATGCTGCTTGAAGTGATAAATGTGCTGGCTCAATATGTTTGGCAAGGAAACCACAATTATCTTCAAGAGTAATTAGTTTCTCTTTCCAACCTCCCAGCATGATAAAGTGTCCTTTTAGTTGATCCTGTAGTATCCTTCTACTATAGAATAACAATGTTCATAAGTAGTTATTTTTCTGTTGTATTTTTGATGCCTTCTGGAGTGTGGAAAAAGTAGAAATGTTTGCTAGAAGGCAGTCCTATCTGGAAAACTTTCAGCCACCTTTTTGTTGGTTTCATTCTGCACACAAATGAGTTCTGTTATTTCAGATGATCTAGTTTTTATGGGGGACGGACTCTACAGCAGGATACTTACTAATTATGTTATTCTGACAAAACCAAGAATCAAATTCTGATCTTTTGTGTCCCCAGTGCAGTACATAGCTGCCTCACTCATTTGCTCTAGTGGTACTTCAGGATCCATGTTTATTAATGGTAGTAGAGATTCTAATGCAATATTTCTAGTAGGATGTAGATAATGAGTCTGCCTCCTTCTGTACAGTTGATGCTTTCATGACAGTCCCCAAGAATGCTTTTCTCACATGCTAGACAATACAGGTTTATCCAGTCTTATGATAAGATTAGATAAACTGTGGCACCCAAAATCTAGGAAAGTGAACACCCTGGCCACATCTCATTCGGATGTCTGGATGAAGTCAACACCATCCCTTGATCGGTGCCCTGATTTCCATAGATAGAAAACCTGGGTACACAGTTATGAAGCACTCTAGCAAGTCTGCTTACCTGGAAGATAGCAAAATGAGGACTGGAGGCAGGCAAAACTTTGGAGCTACATGCAAAGAAAGGGGCATGGATTGCTGCAACTAGAGCAAATACTGAGTTTTCAGAGAGAATGCTGTGTTTTCAGTGAAGTTGTTACAGGTTTATTGGGGAATTCACTTGAAACTCTAATAGTTTGTCTTAATGCTATTAAAAAGTTGGTTATACAGTGTATGCCGCTCTTTCTGTGGAAGAAAAGACTATTTTATTGCATATTTTTCTTTAATAGTACATAGATTCAACAGAACTTGAACGTTCTACAGAAGCAGAGAACTCAGTGAAATATCACCAGGCATGGCACAAACTGTGCAAAGCAGAGTAAGTGGCATTGGGTATTCTGTATCCCAAATACAGACCGTGATATTTACTTACGTGTTGAAAAATGCTTCAGTAAATAATTTCTTAGTGCATCCAAACTTCCATTGCTTATGTAAAGGGATAGATATGCATGGTTAGTGACAAGCTTCAGGCATAGCAAATTATAGCATCAACTTATACCCTCAAACTCTGCTTTAATCTGTTTAGACAAGTTGCAGTTGTTTGGTTGTTTAGGGTGGGTTTTTTGGGGGGTTTGTTTTGTTTTGTTTCTTTGATAGATAGACTTTCTTTACAGTGCAGGTCAGTTGTTAAAGATTTTTCTTTGTCAACATACATCATAGTGAAAGGTAACTAGAGAAAAGCTTAGTAAATTCTGGTGACACTCTGCAAACATCTCTGTTAAGAATCATTGTCAGGATTTCAATTTGTATTTGTAAAGTGTTGTTGTTTGTTGTCAAAATGCATTTAACTTCTTCAGTATTACTTAGTAGACATAAAGTTTTATTGTTAAGATCCTAGAGTAGTGAAAACGTAGCTAGCTTATTTAAGCAATATGTATTTAAGCAGTGGGAATTTCTCTGTGAAGCATGAGGTTGGTCAGATGAGAATTGGTGTGGGTAGATGAGACAAATCTCCAAATTTAGAGTTAATTTCTGTGTATTCTGAATGGTCATACAAAACATGCCTTTTGTGCATTGTGCTTGCTTTGCTGTAACCTCAAAAGTCTCTTCAATTTGAATGGATTTCCTTTGCTGGCTTGATTGTACATGTTGGTTGCTTTATATGTGGCTGTCATTACAGTGGCATTCTGGTTCCAGGAGGGTTTGGAATTAGGGGAACAGAAGGCAAACTCCAAGCCATCTCCTGGGCAAGAACAAAGAAAAAACCTTTTCTTGGTAAGATCATTACAGTCAAAAATTACTGTGTTTTGGAGGTGTATAGCAAGCTAATTGATTTGATTAAAAAAACCCAAAACCAAAACTCAAACAAACCAACACACACTAGGAAAGGATCCTGTCCTAGGGAAGTATGTGTGCTGTTGTGAATATTTGCCTTGTAAATAATGCCCAGGGTCATAGTGATGTACTACATCTGCTGTATAAGGAAGGAAGAAAAAGACTATCCCTACACTAAAGGTTTTATTTGCTATATTCACATTTTATGTGGAGAGTCTTTGCTTCTCGTTGTAATTAAATCAGCATCATTATAGATATAAATCAGTGTGCACAAAAGATAGGTGTCTTTGGACACATTTGCTATATTAAATAATTTTTGTTGGTTATATTTGTTATATTTTATTATGGTAAAGCCTAAAGATACCATCTGGCCTATAAGCTAAGTGCCTCTGAAGCTTTGGTTCCTACTGCACATTTTTTGCAATTTTATAAGTGAGTACTTTGACTAGTTGCCAAAGCAAAATTTGAATCTGAATATACCCAGGCTTTCAGTTTCTGTTTGTCTTTACAGTAATTATTGGTAAAATAGATGGGAGGAAAAAAATTTTTAAAGGGGCTTTTAAAAGGCACATAATTGTGTCACATGTATTTACAGTGTGCCAAGTTTGAAGAGTGAGTATTACATTGAGCAGCCTTTTTTGTTTTAGCTTTTTGATCAGTCTGTGTATATATACTGGGTACCAAGATTTCTAAGCAGTCAAGCTTGAGGCGGAACAGCAAGTACTTTGTCAGTCCTGCTCTTTGTCCTGTTAAATACTGGGTGTTTTGTTTTCTCTTCTAGGAGTTTGCCTAGGAATGCAATTAGCAGTTGTGGAATTTGCAAGAAACTGTTTGAATTGGAAAGGTGAGCTCTGTATGCTAGTGTGAATATGATTTGCTTAGAAGAAACGTTCTAGATGTGAAATGTATATCTATTACTAGAACTATTATATAGATCCTATGATCATTAGGTACTCAGCTCTTGCAACGTGATCATTTTCAGCTAAGCACCCTGTGCTACCTTTCTGTACAAGGGAGTAGGAACTTATTATGCAGATTTCTTGAAACCTGCTTCTTGATCTAATGAGTATAGGAGAAAGTGTGCTTACAGTTCACCTCTGTAGTCTCTTTCTAGAGTGTGCAGGTGGTGAGGAGTAGAAAGTGAGAAGTGGTTTTCTCACTGGCTTTCATTAGTTGGAGTAACCAAACCATAGCCATTGCAGTAGTAGTATGAAGAGATTTAGCTTACCAATTAATTTCTACCACTAAGAGCTGAGAGGAAAAAATTTTGTGAAGTAGGAAACAATGGATGTGTATGACTCAGGTCATACGCTTCCTGTGGTTGCTTCAGAAATGGTGCAGTATGTGTTTCAACATAATAAGGTTGTAGCTTAAATACAGACAAGCCCTAAAATGCCGCAGAACTATTAGGATGAGTTTTGTAGTGCATGTAGAACAATGGAAATGTACTGTGTTTGTTTTGAACTTCTGTTTCAGATGCAAATTCTACAGAATTTGACCCAGACACAAAAACCCCTGTTGTAAGTACTGATTTTTTCCCTGCATATGTTTTGTGAACATGTGTCTTTTCTTAAAAAGGGAGTTACCTTTGTGTAAGTCAAGATCTACCTATATTTTTAGATGGTAGGACATGAAGAGGTGACCACTGTGCCTATTCAGTATTGTTTAAAAAGGTATTTTCTTTTAATAGTCCCTTGCCTTCACCTGCTCACTTCTGTGATTTGCCTTAGTGTTATTTTTGTAATTTTTTTAATAGTTTCCTTGGCTGTAGGCTGCTGCTGGGAGTAGATAATAATGATTAGGTTGGCTTTACTAGAGAATAAAATATAAAGGGAAGCTGGAAAGTGGAGCACAAAGCTATTATTGAAATATAAATTTATATAAAAATAGAAGATTATTTGGAAAGCTGTTAAAAAATTCTTGCCTTTCCTTTATATAAATAGTATAAATAAGCACTACACCCCTCCTCCTCCATGCATCTCACAGTCCTCCTTTTGAGGAAAATATCAGTGCTGTAGATATGACAGGGTTCTCTGTGTCATATGCCAATGGTATATTCTTAGAGTGGAGTTCTTCCAGGTATCCTCTAATTCAGGTGAGTATGGTATCACATTGTCATAATTGTAAAACTTAAAAATTATCAGTAAGAGAGGGTTTTTAAGAAGATGAACAGAAATACGTGTGAAAAATAAAGGAGTATCTTGGTGTAAGATGTTCTAATGATAAACTAAGTGGGTTGCTCATAGTGACCTACTGTTTCTGTATCAATTTCCTTCAAAAGAGTTTTGTTGGGATTTGTAAATAAATATATATATTTTTCCCACATCTGCTTAGTCTGAAACATGCAAATAGGAGATTTTTAAAGCATTTGACCTGTTTGTCAAGGTTGTTTATATGCATTGGAGAGAGATCTAGCCTGAACTTTTAAAGGTAGATTAGACACCTTCAGAGCTGCAGTGTGAGACTTACTGCTAAAACTTGGTGGCATTTGGAAATGTCCTCAGGGTGAACAAAGGTAAACTTCGCATTTGGCATCAAATTTGTGGACTTGCCCTCGTAAGAGGTCTCTTCTTGAATGTATGCGAAGGCATAGTCTTTCTCTGGAGGGGTCAATTTCATAGTAGCAATATGTTGTAATGTGTGGAAGATGTTGAAAACTTACTGTAAATTTTTTTGGAAGCAAGAGGGATAGTACAGAAGACTGATTCTGGGGCTCTTTAGTGCCATTTTTATTTAACTTCTCATGACTGCATTTCAGCTAGCCACCTCAGGGACCTTTTCAGGATGCAGTCAGATCATCAGGAGGGATTGAGTCACCCTGTGGACCTGCTGGTTTCTCTCTATTATTCTAAGGGTTGTTCACAGTAGCTGGCTGTGGTGCAGAGCTCCACACTTAGCTGAAGTCAGGAACATGGATCCTTGTCTGCTGCAGCCCTACTGGCAGTTTCTTCTATTACAGAAATTGTAGTGTGTATTACTACAATATATCTAGGGCAAAATTTTATTCCACAAGTAATAACTGAGTGATTTGCACTTTGCATTCAAGGGCAAGTAAGGTATATATGTTAAAGAGAAAATTATATGGCCATAAAATGAAGAAAATATTGGAGTGAATGTATGTGTCATAGAAGAGTAATACAGTGTGTACAATTGAAGCAGTATGCTTGCAGTACGTATAATTGATATTCTTTTGTTCTGAGCTACATTAAGGTTCTGAAATTGGTTCTTACCACTCATATTTCAGCATCTTAATCTGATCTCTGACATCTCAGTTCTGGATGAGAAACAGATGTAAATCATTCCAAGGGGAAAATTTGCACTATCAATAATTATAACTGCTAAATAATCTGTCTTAGCAGAGTCCATCTTGTGCTAAAAACTGTTTAGATATTCTATATAATAACAAATCAATAAAAACGATTGGAAGAGAAGCAGATTAGTGAAGCTTGTGAACTGCTGAACTGATGTATATGTTACATTATCCAAGAAAGTTAATTGGAAACACCGTATCAGCACTGATAATATCTTGCGATGCCACTGTGTGGTTCAACTGAGTGCTAACTTAGGACCAAAGCAGTATTTTTTTTTTTGGTTCCTGCTCCTTTGGAAACTGAAGAGGGAGAAGAAAGGCACTGGTGAGGCAGTAGTTCTATTTCCTTTTCTTTTTAAGAAAAAGGAAGAAATACAAAAGCTCAAATATGCAGTTTGGCAGGGGAACTCAGGTGCAGCCATAAAATATAAAGCTACTTACATCCCTTCATAATTTGCTAAGCATTCAGATACTCAGAACTGTTCTCACCAAAGCTGATAATTTCTGCTAAAGTACATATAAAATACCTTGTTCTACTTTGCTTCCCTTTTGTCTGCATCTATGGAAATTTGAACCTTTTTTATTAGAAATAAAAACTAAGATTGTCAGGTAATCATGTAACTCAGAATTAGGCTTCCAAAGGAAAAACAGGTGTCTGAAATAAAGAGAAATGATATTACCGGTAACTGTCTCTCAATTAAAGTAACAGAAGTTATTGTACTGTAGAAGAGTATTGTCTGCATCAGTAAAAAGTTTTGAGCATTGTAAAAGGTTTTTATGTGATGAGGCAATTGTGACTTGTCCTGTTTTGAACAATAACGAATGCACAACTGAACATGCAAATGTAGAGAGTTGCCTGCAATGCTGAATATCTGTTTCATTTTAGCTGTTCATCTATTTCTACTGGCTATCATTACAACAATGTTGCTCAGCATGGGTTCTGCAAAAGCACCCATGAGTAACTTTATATCGGAGGTAAACCTTGTATAACCCTGGATTGCTTGTTTTGGTGTATATTGATATCAATTATATCAGTATGTAAATGACTGCAAGTATTGTAGAGTTAAGATTTCAAATACCTTGGAAAAAATAGTAGTGTCTGCAAGCAAAAAATGGCAGTTAAAATAATGTAAAACAGCCAAAACTGTGTTTTTAAAATGCTGTAGGAGAAAAAAATTTCCTAAAGCTGAGTTTCTATGTGATTAAAACTAAAGCAAATGAGACCTAGAATTTGAAAATTTTAATAAGCTGTGATTTATAACTTGCGTTTGAGAGATTTGAAGTTGCTGTTAGGTATTTTAATTTAGGCCTAAATTAAAAATGTATACTCTGAAGGAAAAAAAAGGCCTCTCATATAGCAGTTATCTATATTCATCGTACCATTTATGCTGCCAAAATACCACCTTAAGGTTTTGGCTTCAATTCCTGTTTAACACGTTTGATTTCAGTAGGGAGAATGAAGGAGGTACCCGAGCACTGATCACAGTCCCTCAAGTTCTTGATCTCATCTTGTGTTGATTATTTGCAGGTCATGTTCCCACTATATGTTCTTAAGCTTTCTGCTTTACTTTCTAGCCTTATGGATAATAATGATAGGTAAATTGTTACTGTTCTTTCCAGGAAGACAGCTGTTCAGAAAAGTAATGCATTTGCTTGAGAGTAGTGCTTAGTATGAGTTTTCCGTTGCAAATGATAATTTTAAAATTAACTCCTTTAAAGGGAAACTGTATAGCCTGTGAACTGCTAATGAAATGGTTTCACTGGATGGCAAAGTAGTTATTTGTTTTGTTCCATTTCATTTCCCTCATCTTCCTCTACTATTAAACTTAGATTTATTTTTTTGGATGAGCCTTTTAACTATGTTCTTTGTCAATTTTATTGCAACTGCATCTAATGCTGTTCTAGGAACACAAAAATAACCTTTACATAAATAATTCTAACTCACTTTTTGGGTTTTGTTTATTTGGTTTTTTTAGATTTTAAAAAGGTAATTTTAATTGTGACTGTTGTTCTTCATGACCTATTGCATCTTGTGTAGGATCATGAAACTATCCTGTGTAGGATATTGCACTGGGTAAAATAAGTGCATTTTCTACAACTCAAGAAATTGTGCAGAAACAGATTGTGCCAGTAGGTGACACTCTTACAACACATTTGTTTCTTGATACCACTTTTCTATTCAGGGTGTAAGTAACCTGACTGAATTAAAAAATTTCTAAGGTTGTCAAAGAGATGAAAAAGAACGTATGTCCCACTCATGCAAAAACACCTCTTCGAATTCTGTGGTTTTACTTATGTATGTAAAGTAGCTAATGTAGCTTAGTAAGTGAATGTGTGTGGGGTATATTTAGTTTTGAAATCAAAGCATATTGTTAATTTAGAATAATTTTTTTAATAAATCAGAAAAAAGTAATAAATATTATGATTTTCTTTTCTTCCAAGAAACATAACACATTTTAACAACTGAAGGGTTTGTGTAAAAGAATGGCCCAGGCACTTGTTAGAACATCCATATCATGTTTAAATATCATAATTTTTGAGGCTTCTATTCATGCATCACTGGTGTGGAGTACTTTATTCCCGATTTCATGGAGGGGAAATTCAGGGGTAGGAACGACTGTAGTATGGGATCTGGAATGAACTTGATAGGCTTTGCAATTAAGTTGAGTCTCTAAGTGCTTAAGTAACTCTAAGATCTAACTGATTTATCAGCATAATGGATGATGTTGATATTAAAATTCAGTCCAAAATTCCAAGTTCTCTAGTTTAGATTAGTGCCTAATCCACTGAATTACTTGTCTTCAACATTTCCTTTCTTCTCATTTATCTTCTTTTTCACAAATTTGCTCTTAAAGCAAATAATAATGCCCATGAATTACATGTGTGAAAATACATATGTCACAAGGACTCATACAATGGAAAGGTTAAAACTGCACCAAATAAATGTAATGAATGTTTTAATTGCAACAGCAGTTGCTCAGTTCCTATATATACTTAGGTACTCCCATCTACAAGTGTAATACTCCCCCCCCCGCTTACGTAAATATAATTTAAAATGAACATGTAATGTTATAGTCATCATACTTAGCATTGTTACATTGTTATTGAAAATAAGTACTTTATGTTTTAAAGATGCTACTGTATGGAAGTGTCATCTTATCTGAATGATGACACTGAACTGGGAGGAGTATTGGATAGTATACAGTAGGG